CTATTAAAATTTCTTCATAAATAAATATTTTCTATATTAAACTATTTTCAACAACTAGTTTTTTAAATATTTATTTGTGTCAATATATGTAGACTTCCAAAGATAGTTTCAAAAGCAACAAGATTTATAAATAGAATTAACTTAAGCACAGATTGATTCCTAGTATTTCTTTTCACATGTGAAGCAAACTTTTATTTTATGATTGTAAAATTTTCCAGCCTATACTATAAAGTATGTTCAGCCCTAAAACTTAAAATTCTTTACATTTTCTTATTGGACTAGTATTGTAGTGTACTGGTATACAATGTCTTACTGAATAGAAGAATGATGTACGGTATATAATTAGAAATCTGTTCTGTTTCAACATACTTGTGACCACTTAGTAATTGCACATTTTATTACACAATTTTTTACAAACTATTTTTTTTGTATCATAACATGTGTAAGAAAACAGTTGATTTAATTAAACAAAATAAAAATGTTGTTATTTGTCAAAAGGAAAATTATAGATATACTGTGCACAAATTTGAACTACATATTTAATAAATAAAGTTGTAGGAAAATTGTATGTAATTTATAGTCTATTCTGTGTTACTGAAAGCAACAAGTTTATTTTAAAGCTACTATTTATTTTTATGTCTATTACATACCAGTACAATATTTTATATTTGATAAGTGAAAACAAAAAATATATAATTAATGTACAAATGATGAAAAAAAATTATTATTCTTTGAAATGAACATACAAGAAATTTGAGTAAATTTCTTTTTATTTTTAATTTCTCTGGGCTTACCTGTTCCAATAGTCACAAGCTACAACTAGTGGCAATGTAACTTACTAGTATTCTGGTCTGTGTTTTCTTTTTACATTAAAATACAGAGTAATGGCCCTTGGCTGTTGTTTTTGGTTAGTATAATTCATTTTGTTTAGGACGTTCCTTCTGAAATGAAGATTCTACATCCTAGCCCAAACCTTCAACAGGACAGCAGGGTAATACAGTCCATGGACTAGTGTGAGGGCAGTCCAACGTGCATTGTATTGAAATACAATATGAGAGCACAATAGAAAGGTTATTTTAAAATGGTAGATGATTAGGTCTTTTGTTGACATGGAAGAAAATAACTTCAGCAATAATGTTTAACAAAGAAAAAATTTCCTTTTTTTTTTATTTTTTAAACTCCTCATTTTTGGAAAATCTTTTCACAGTATATCATTTAGACTGTAGTTGAAAATACCTGGTAGTTATTAAAATTACCCTTTGATTAAACAGACCCTTAATGGTCTGCTACATAACTCAATTTAACTTTGATAAGTATACCTAGCCTAGTATCATAGACAGGCTTCATTTTGACAACGTTTATTGTGTTTAGAGTAGTTATATTCAATATATTTCTATGGGTTTCTAATAATGTAAACCAGGTTGTGAAATCTTGTCTGTGTTTCTGTGTAGTTCATTTGATGTTTTCTATGTCCTAGTAAATTGTACGAGAAGATCATTTTCACGGAAAGGTTAAGGTCATCATGGTTGAAGCTGGAGCTGATAAATTTTCCGCATACAACTGATAGTTTAATATTTGTATTAAAACTGACTTAGTTATTCTTTTTTTTTTTTTTTAACTGTAATGTTGAAGAAGACTACATCATGTTAAAGTATATGTATATTCTTTGAATCATTGCAAACTGATAAGTACATTTTCTGGTACTGTACATTGGAACCAGATTTTCTAAATCTTTTCAATGCATAATGTGTAACAGATTTGCCCCATAGGCACATGAGATGTTGTAAATGGTGAGGTTTGTTTCTCAAGATGTCTCACTACACTGTTACATTATAGAATACTTCAGTCATTGAACTCTAAGAGTTTCATTAATGTGTCTGTCAACAAAAGTGAAATAAAAGAATTATAATTCAAATTGTAAATGTTTTTAAATTCCCTTTTCTGTATATTTTTATTGTAAATTCTACCTTAAGCAATTTTGTTAAACCTTAGAATGAATTTATTCGTTCGTATACAGCATATCTAAGTAATGTGTTTAGTACAATTCAGTAAGTGCAGCAAATTAAGTGAAATATTAGTAGTTTTCACTCTAATATGTGCAAGATGAATGTTTGGAGTCTGGGATGGTTATGCTTCATAAAAATGTCTGCATTTGATTTTGTAAAATTTGTAGAATTTTGATTGCTTAGCAAACTAAATTGCGGTATGTTTCAACTTCAAAATTTGATGGACACAAATTGGTAATATCATTGCTATTGGCTCTATAACGGTGGCTTAATTAAGGTTTAATAGACTAGTTCATTTTTCTACTCAGAGATGCTTTGATAAATATGGAAGTGTAATCTCTGGTTCAAATTTATATAGCTTATGAGCATTCACAATGACCGGGTACCCGGTATTTAAAAAAACAAACTACATGCCTAATGTGTATGTAAACATTAATTATTGTTATAGAAACGAAAAATGAAAATATCTACAATAATATTAGTCATAATTCCCACTTCTCTTTTTACAATAATTTTAATAATCTTTATTGCCCGTAAGGAAATTTGTGCAATACACCAAACAAAATATAACTATAAAGAAAAATGTACATTCACACCAAACTCACTCATAATTTACATATAAAAAGTTTATATCAGATAGGCCTATATATCAATAAATAACTTTTGAAAAGCAGCATGGAAACCTCTCTTACTGGTCCACTGAATATTCTATAGGCCTAATTATGATAGTTGCGCTGAACAAAAGCTGTTAATAAAAATATGTCCAATCAATCGCACAAATTTATTTATTGTTCGTCTACAAATCTAGATCTATTAAAATAAACGACATGATTCATTCAAAATAATTGATGCAATAACATTGCATTTTCACTCAATTTAAGTGTTGTTTTTTAAAGTAGGGCCTATAGATCTATATTGTTCATTATGACTCTTTTAGCTTGGGCTAAAAACTCAAGCAAACTGTAGCAAATATGAAATCGCCACATTGGCAACAAACTAATAGTAAAAGGTAACCTCTTATTAAAAATTATTTAAAAACCTGAACATATACCTAATTATATTACATCTGTTATATTCATTTGAGTTGACATCATGAGCCTTGAATGTGCTGTGAAAGTTGCGATAGTTACAAATATAATCGTTGAGTTTCACCCCTAAGTTGAGCCCCGTGAAGGCCTACAGGCCAACATTCACTGTGGGTGGCTTGTGCAGCAGCATGGTGCCAAAATCTAATGCTCTCATAAACGTGTTGACGCAGTCTGATATCAGTGAGATAAAGAAGACAGCATTGACGCCCTTGCATTTCTTGTAGATAGACTTTTGTGTTCTGAGAACTGAGGGTTATAATTTTAAACTACACTAAAAGTTTGATCTACTTTGATGTCTCTGGTTGAATTAGATCTTAAACTTGTACCTTATAATATTAGGCCTTCATTTTGGCCAAGTGTAAATATATATTATAAAGCTTGGCTTCTGCAATGAGACGTGACGACATGAAACCCATTGCAGAGTAGGATGTGGAGTTTCGAGATTTATGGTACCGGTAGGCATATAAGGTTAGGATGACCCAACTATAATGGGCTCCTGACGGTAGATTAAAGGCGGTTGGTTGTTATGGTAACCACCCTGGTTAATCGTAGGCTTTCAAAACTGCATCATTGACCGCATGAAAGGAGAATTAATTTAATCATAACATTCAAATGATCCGATAATCGCAAATGGTGAATATGTTAGAAAGTATGTGGCTTCTGAGGACAGACGTAGACGTCGAAAAGAAATAATTTATCGACCACAGGCAGACAATGACTATGCTTGCGCTAGATGTGACAAAATATGTAGGTCGAAGCTGAGGCTGCGTAGCCACGGGAAATACTGCATTCCTTATTAATCTTCGGACTCAAAGGCAAGCCTTATTACGTGGCCTGTTCATGAACTTCAATTTATTAATAAATGTTGCTATTTACCTTAATTTTTAAATTGCGTGATTGAAAACAAAATCATATAAAGTTCAATAATGAAAATGTTAATTCTTAACAAAATTACAATTCCAACTATTAGCTAAACATTTCTTTATGTAATAAAGTTTGGCAAAAGCACAGGTGTAAAGGTAAAAAAAAAGTAAAATTCCCCATTCAGACCTTGTGGTCTATAAGGCAGATGATGTAAAGATCATCTGTTTCTGTGGCCTACAGTTAACGAGGATGTCATGTGGACAGCACAACGACCAACCATCTTTACTTTTCCCCAACTTATGTCAGGTACCCATTAGAGCTTGTTGAACTCAAGAGGCGCCCAAAGATCCCGAAATCACCAGGATCCATAGGTGTAGCCTAAATGTGGAATGGTGCAAATGCATGCTTAATTTAAAAAAAAAAAGAAAAATAGAATGTAGACATTCGGAAATGAAGGAAAGTTTTAGAAAGTAGGCTATTTGTAATCTAGTCATGCAGAGCCTTAAATTATTGGATTTCCTGACTGAATCAGGTAATCCATTTTATGCTTCTATACATTTATACGTATTAGTCCTAGCATCTGGAATAACAAATATCCCTTTGTCTTTGTGCTTTTCTGGGTATTTTATTAGGTTATTTTTTTTTTAATTATGGTTCATTGTTTTATGTTATGTGCTAATGCTATTTCACTTTGTAGTCCACTGTCCTCAATTAATGCTAATGTTATGAGTACTCCGCCATCTGCCGGTCCCAAGCCCGGGGGAAAAAGGAGGAGGGTTTGGCGTGGGGCTAGCGACCCCACCCTGTAAAACCACTATTGCTACAGAAACGGCAAACTCGACACATAATGAAAACTATACGTGATTTGTGATTTTGGGCACATCGGCACATTTAAGGCCATATCGTGCCTGCAGTCCCTCAAGGGCCACTCTCCCTCCACACAACAAGGGCCAAATTCCATACAGTCAAATCATTAAAATCAAGGTCTATTCACAGTTAAAATAGTAGAGGTAGTAAAAATTTAATATATTGGTAAAAATCTAATGTAAATAGTGCATGTCTACAGAATTCATAAATCAGATCTTCGTAGACAACCCCACTTCTCGGATAAAGCCCAGTACCTTCCCAGGGTCGGCATTATTGAATAGTGTTTTTAAATTAGTGGCTCTAAAATATTTTTCCCTGACATCCTGGTATCTGGGGCAGTCGATGAGGATATGTTCCACGGTGAGGCGAGAGTCACAATACTCACAAAGTGGGGGCTCTTCTTTCTTCAGCACAAAAGAGTGCGTGATGTAGGTGTGGCCAATCCTAAGTCTGGACATGGTCGTGCTACCACGCCTTGTCAGACCCTTAGATGTGGACCGCCACCTGACATCCGCCACAATCTGCCTGAGTTTATTGTGAGTCTCAGCCTCCCATCGGTCCTGCCACTCTTGGTAGATGGCAGAGGCAATACTTTGTCTCAGGTCTGAGCAGGGAATTTGAGTTCCTGACACCGCAAGATTTAGGGCTCTCTTTGCTTCTCTGTCTGCGGCTTCGTTTCCCTCAATGCCCACATGGGAGGGGACCCAGATGAAGGTGACATCCGTATGGTCGGCTGTTATTTGGTCCAACAGCTTCAGGCTCATATGTACCAGTGGAATGTCAGTCTTCATCCGCCCCAAAGCTTGCAATGCAGATTTGGAGTCGGAGCAGATTATAAATTTCCTCCTTTCTGATGCTTTGACGGCCATAAGTGCAAGCGATATTGCATGCAATTCGGCCGTAAAGATGGAGCAGCCATCGGGGAGTCTACGGGAGATTGTTTTGTTCCGAAAGGAGCAGGCACACGCGACCTTTCCATCCATTTTGGATCCGTCTGTGTAGATGGTGCCACAATCTCCGTAGCTATCTTGCAGTTCCCTAAAGTGGACTTGTAGTATGCTTGGGTCTGTATTTTCTTTTTTGAAATTAAGGAGGGATAAATTTAATTTGGGTTTATTCATTAGCCAAGGAGGATTATGAGGGGTTTCTATTTTAGAGATTTGGTTAATGGGTGGAATTAAATTTTGGATGGGTTCTCTCATTCGAAGGCCTAACGGCTGTATGACGTTAGGCCTTCGATTGTATAACTCTACCTCTGTGGGGTTAAATATGGAATCGAAAGCAGGGTTCGTAGGGTTGGATTTTAGCTTGACTATATACTGCATTGCACGCTTTTTCATTCTTATATCCATGGGGAGTTCTCCAGCCTCCACATGGAGGCTTGGGGTAGGTGATGTACGAAACGCGCCGAGACAGAGACGCAGGGCAGCATTTTGTATTGGTTCCAGTATTTTTAGGTACGACTTCCTTGCTGCTCCATATATTATGGATCCGTAGTCTAGCTTGGATCGAATTAGACTCCGATATAGCAGCAGCAAAGTATCTCTGTCAGCTCCCCAGTCCGTATGGCTGAGCACTCTAAGTATGTTTAATGACTTTTGGCATTTTCTCTTAAGTTCCTTAATGTGGGGGAGAAAATTAAATTTGGAATCTAGAGTGAGGCCTAAAAATTTTGTAGTTTTCACGACAGGGATCTTCTTTTTGTGTATAAATAGTTCAGGGTCTGGGTGGAGTCCCCTTAACTTACAAAAATGCATACTAACTGTTTTGGAGTCCGAAAATTTAAAACCATTATCGTTTGCCCAATTTTGAATTTTGTTTAAACATAACTGTAATTTTCTTTCTAGGGTGTTCATGTTTTTCCCATAAGTAAAAATGACAAAGTCATCAACATACAAAGAGCACTCTATGCCAGGGGACAGAGCATTTATGATGCTATTTATTTTAATGTTGAACAGGGTGACTGACAGAATGCTGCCATTTCCTGGTCATGAGTGTCAGAAGTGGTGTTGCCCACTCGAACCTGAAATTTTCGGTCTTTCAGGAATTCCCCCACAAAACGGGGAAGATGTCCCTTAAGCTCCATAAGCTCCAGGTCACGTAGAATGCCATGTTTCCAGGTTGTGTCATAGGCCTTTTCTATATCGAAGAATACAGCTACTAGATGTTCTCTTCTGAGTAATGCATTTCTGATACAAGCTTCCAGCCTTACCAGGTGGTCAGTTGTTGTCCGCCCTTGCCGGAATCCGCACTGGTAGTTAGAGATCACTTTATTCCTCTCCAGGTACCAGACCAGCCTACTGTTAATCATTCTTTCCATGGTTTTGCAGATGCAGCTTGTTAGTGCTATTGGTCGATAGTTAGCTGGGTCAGAGCCGTCTCTTCCCGGTTTAGGTATCAGTATAACTGTGGCTTTCCTCCAGCTGTTTGGGAAAGCGCCTGTTTGCCACACACAGTTATAGACCCCTAGCAGGACTGCCAATGAGGGTTCGGGAAGGTGCTTGAGGAACTGGTAATGGATTTCATCTTCTCCAGGCGCTGTGGCATGTGACTTGTCTAGCGATTCCCTCAGTTCCTCAAGCGAGAACGGTTTGTTGTAGTCTTCATTGTTTTCTGACCTGAAATCAATGGAGTGTCTTTCCTCCCTGGTTTTGACTTTTTGAAACTCTGGCGTGTAATGTGCAGTGGATGACTTTTCTGCTATTGAGGATGCAAGGCAGTCAGCTATTTCTCTGGGGGACGTGACAGTTCGTCCTTGGTTTTTCAGATGCCCAATTGCATTTGATTCTTTCCCTTTGATTCGCCTTACTGCCTTCCAGACCGCTCTAGAAGAAGTTTTGGCATCCAGACTGCCGACAAAACTTCTCCAGGAATTCCTTTTGGCTGACCGTATGGTTTGTCTAGCCTTTGCTCTAGCTATTCTGAATAGCTTTAGGTTTTCCTGAGATGGATTTTTTATAAATGCAGCCAGTCGTTTTTTCCTATCGCAAATAGCACTTTTGCAGGCTGTATCAAACCATGGTTTGCTAGGCCGTTTTGGATTTGCGGAGGTTAGGGGGACAACTTTCCTGGCTATACTAAGTAGCTTGCTAGCAAAGGTATCAGCTGGGTTCTGTTCATCGAGGATATCTTATGGGGGATGCTATCCTTCACAAGGATACAGACTCCACCTGAAGCTCTCTCTGCATCCTCAACATTCTTGCTGTAAGCACTGTAGCTTCGGAAGCTGATGCTATCTTTCAGAAATGTTTCCTGTAGGCAGACAGCTACAGGAGTCTCAGAGTCCATCAGTAGCTGCATTTCCTCATAATTGGCCTTGAGGCCTCTGCAATTCCACTGTACAATTCTGGAATCCATGGCTTAATCTAGATGACCTACTTGGAGCTATTTGGCTTTGGGAGGCCCCCGGAGGGGTTTCCCTTAATTCCAGTGACCTTGGTATTTTTATTCTTGGGTTTGGATGGAGAGGAGGACAACCCCCTTTTGGGGGAAGTCTTTCTCTCTGGAGAGGGGAGATCCCTCTGGTTAGAGCGGAGGTTATTTCCTCCTCGCTCACCTCGGGCATCCTCTCCGCTTTGATTTCTCCCCTTAGGGAGTTGGTCAACCTTAACTATACATGCGGCAAGGGCGGCCAAACCCTGATGAAGGTGTTGGATCAAAGCCAACTGGAAGTCCAATACCCGATACATGGCAAGCCTTTCAACGCAAGGAAACCGACTCTTATAGGCACGTGGAATGTAAGAACCCTGAATCAATGCGGTAAACTGGCCCAACTTTAAAGAGAGTTTGACTCTTACCGGCTGGACATCCTTGGGATCTGCGAGATGCGGTGGACATCAAGTGGACAAATAATCAATGATGGCAAGACAATAATATATTCAGGACATGATAAGGAGCACATTGGTGGTGTAGGAATGATCATGTCTAAAATAGTAGCTTCAGCGCTAATTGCTTGGAAACCAGTCAGTGACCGCATCATTACAGCTCGACTCCAAACAAAGCAAATCAAAGTCACTACCATCCAAGCATATGCCCCTACAGAGGATGCAGAAGATACCATCAAAGATAGTTTCCATAACCAACTACAAACCACTCTTGATGAAACACCTACTCACGACCTAATTCTAATGATGGGAGACTTTAACGCCAAAATCAATCCCAACCGAACTGGCTTTGAATATGTAATGGGACCGTATGGCTCTGCAGAAAACATCAGTGATAATGGCGAGCGCTTGATTTCTCTATGTGCATCCAACAGCCTTTCAATTGGAAACACATATTTTAAGCACAAACAAATACACAAAAAAAACATGGCGATCACCAAATGGAGAAACCTTCAACGAGATAGATTACATTTGCATCTCCAAACGATAGAGGTCATCTCTGTTAGACGTGCGGACCCGCAGAGGAGTGGATATCGGCTCAGACCACTACCTTGTCAGTGTCAAATGTAAGCTCCGATTGAAACACCAACCAAAACAAGCCACACGACCCCGCCCATTTAATGTAGAGAAGCTTAAAGACGGCAATACTGCAGCAGTGTTCCAATTGAAACTTACGAACCGCTTTGAGGCTCTTGCAGATATATTGACCCTTGAAGAAGAATGGGCCAACTTCAAAGATACCACTATTGGGTGCGCGGAAGAAGTCATCGGAAGGAGGCGAGGTTCATACAAGGAACGGTGGATACAAGACAGAACATGGAAATTGATAGATGAGAGGAAAGAGGCCAAACGTAGACGAGATCAGAAAAATGAAACACAGGATCGCAGCCTAGCGGAAGAAGCCTATAGGGAAGCAGATCTGAAAGTAAAGAGAAGTTGTCGGCGAGATAAACGGGACTGGATTGAGCAGAAGGGACAAGAGGCACAAGCAGCTGCAAGCAGAAATGACACAAAAACCCTCCATCGTATTGTCCGAGATCTCACTGGAGCAAAGAGTGGACATGGGGCACCGATAAAAGACAAGCAAGGCAAAACTTTGTTAACGAAAGAAGAACAGGATTCAAGATGGGTAGAGCACTTTAAAGAGACCAAACTTACATATTCAAGGACCCCTCTCCAGACAATGATCTCAAGGTCAAGACAGACCCAATAACTGCTGAGGAGGTTACCATGGCCATTGCAGTGTTAAAGAATAACAACGCACCAGGGCTAGACATGATATCAGCAGAAATGCTAAAATATGGGGGACAGTGCATTGTTAACAGAATGACAGATCTTTTAAATCTCTGTTGGCAAACTTCAAAAGTCCCAGAGGACTGGCAAAAGGGAGTGATTGTAAAGCTTCCAAAAAAGGGCAACTTGGCAGACTGCAACAACTGGAGGGGCATTACTCTCCTCTCTGTCCCGGGCAAAGTTTTCAGCACTGTTTTGTTGAGACGGCTTCAACAGTCTGTAGATGAAAGGCTCAGAGAAGAACAAGCAGGTTTCTGAAGAGGCAGATCATCTACAGAGCAGATTTTCGTTCTACGAAATATCATAGAACAAAGTCTTGAGTGCCAACAACGGCTAACGATCAGTTTCGTGAACTTCAAAAAAGCGTTTGATAGTGTCCACCGAGAATCACTATGGAAAATAGTTAGAGAATACGGTATCCCAGAAAAATTCGTCCAGATCCTACGACACCTTTACAGTCAATCTAGTTGCTGCATTAAAACAGAAGAGGGAACAACAGAGTTTTTTACAATCGAGACAGGTGTGAGACAGGGGTGCATCTTATCTCCCTTCCTTTTCCTCCTAGCCATCGACTACATAATGAGGAGAGCAATGAACCAGACTGCCTTTGGTATTCCATGGCATGAACAGCTCCGATTGACGGACTTGGACTTTGCTGATGATGTTGCACTACTCGGGGCTACAAATAAATGCATTCAAGAAATGACGGAGAGCCTAGACAGAGAGGCACCCAAAATTGGCCTCCGCATAAACTTGGATAAGACTAAAATTATGCGAGTGGGATATAAGGCAAAGGGTGTCCCCGTCAGACTTGGCGAGTCAAAGCTTGAAGAGCTGGACAAGTTCACGTATCTTGGCAGCATCATAACAAATGATGGAGATGCTTACCATGATGTAGAGTGCTGAATAGGAAAGGCAGGGAGCATTTTCCAAAGGCTGCAGCCTATTTGGACTAGCCAAGCCATTGGACTCGAGACAAAAATACACCTTCTCAACACAATCGTCATTCCAACTGCTACATATGCATTTGAGACGTGGAAGTCATCTGTCAAAATTGAGAAAAGACTAAATGTGGCTCAACAGAGATGGCTGAGACGGATTTTGGGAGTCAGTTACACAGATCGGGTCTCAAACAAGGAAATCCTATGCCGAACTGGGAGTCGAACACTTGGTGAGGTTGTGACTGAGCGTCGCATGAGGTTTGCGGGACATGTTCTACGTCAAAATGAATTACGCACACCAAGAGTTGCGATAACATGGAAGCCAAAACAAGGAAAGCGCAAACAGGGACGCCCTCGTATTACTTGGCGACACACCTTCATGGAGGACCTCAAAACAGTGGACACCAGGTGGGAGGAGGCTTCAGACATTGCCAGTGACAGATCTTTATG